AATAGTTTGAACGTTGTTCGTGTATCGCTTGAATGCAATCGGTTTCAATCGATGTTTCTATCGTCGGATGTAATTGCAAATATTGATGTTGCTATCGAGTACAATTGAAATATCGAGAAATCTGATCGATTCAACCGTTAAAGCACTTTTGAAAATACCAATTTATAAAATATCGATGAAAGTAGAGGTATTTAAAAAGAAATTTATATACAATCGATAAAACGATACTTCTAGCAATTTTATACTCGTCGAATTATTATACTTTCGTTTGTACCATACTCTCAATTACACCGCAATTTGCGTAATCATCGAACGATTACATATTTCCTAATTAGACTTCTCGTAAAATGTTTTAGACACTTAATTCGAATTTCGACACAGGATTCTATTGAAAGTTGAATTCATGCTACGGAATCCTCTTGTTCAACGCTTAAGAGAAACTTCCACGACGAACCGTCTTTATTATCTTTAAGTTATTCCGGCAGTCGTTCTCTTAGTAGAGCCCGTTGTATAATTAACAAACAGCAACGACGTCGGGAACGGTATAAACAGGACAGTTGCAAATTCACCGAGCCAAACCGTTGCCAGTTGCGTGTTGAATCTTAAAAGACTGCGGTCGAGCTATGCCGCAGAGGCATCTATGTCGAATGTTAACCACTGTTTGCCGGTTTAATTTGACGCACTGTGTTTCGGTAGGCAGGGTAGTTTATTTGGGTAAATTGAGTGTACTCGCGTAAGGAGAAGGAGATGGCCGAAAACGCGAGCATGCCATGGCAGGTATAGCTGCTCATTAAAATAGTTAAGCTCTATTACGAGGCGATTAGGTTCGCGACACCCTGAAGCAGCACACCCTATTGTACATCAACGCTGTCTCCGAGGTAGCTGATAATAACGGCTGGATGTCGCCCTGGAAGTTTAGCGATGCTGCAGCTGCGAGCTATATTACATTGGATCCGTTGATGGATCTTTACTGCAGCTTGCTAGGTTCCCTCGTTATTTTAAAGAAAAATTTCAGCCATTAAAATTTTTAATGTATCAATTCGTTAATGGTATCTGACACATTCAAGCCCACTAAAATTCAGCATTGCTATGGGTAGATATACCTAAGCGGAATCGAACATATCAACTCCTTCGCCTCAAAAGAAATTTGATTAGAAGAAAAAAAAATTAAACGATGCAATTAAATGAGATATCGTTAAGTTTCCCAAGTGGTCCAGGTTCCATGGAGTTGATCGCCGCAATTGACAGAGTTTTTGCGGGGTCAGAACAGTGGTGGTCGGTCGACGAGTATACAAGAGCCTCCGGTTCGCAACAAAAACGAGGAAAAGCGAGGGAAGCGTAACTGTTGGCGTTCGCGCTCGGTGTCAGGCCGCAACAAAACCGATGCCTCGAAAACAGTCTCGCCTAAAGTGAGCGATGAAACGAACACACAACAGTTCCGCTGATAACGACCGTCCTGAAACAAAATACTCGCCGTAGCGCGGGAATACCACAGACCACTTTCAGCTGTCTCCACCATCCGACGACTCTATTCACTTCTATTTTCGCTCTTCTTCTTCATTCACCTGTAATTTCTGTACAGTGACGACCATTCGCCGAACTGAATTTACGCTCTACTCCATCCTATGAAATATGAGTGCAATGAGTTTTCCTCAATTTTCCTTGCTTAAGCTTGTTTCTTCCGATCTTCTTTGTTATTTCATAGCAATCTTCCACTTGACATTTTTCACCATTGACGCTCGATAACTTCCTGTTTCTTAGAAAAATCCTAGGTTGTGTCATGATTATAGTCAACGATAAAAATTAATTATGTTATGGATTAAGTTGTTTTAACATAGACAGTCATTGAAGCTTGAAGGATAAAGTGAGAAGTAGGGAACTGCAAATGGTAGAACCATTTTAGAGTTCTGACATAATTGTGTTAGAGGTAGAGGAGTTGTAAAGTTTGTAACTGAATTGTGGGTTTTTGGAAAATCGAGGTAAATGGAACGTTACAAGAGCTTATGATAGTTTGTTAGAAACTAGTATCTCTGTTGAAACAGTATTTTAATTTTTCTTATAATTATACAAAATTAATGTTAATATAATAAAACTATAACAAATTAGATTTCTATTTTCAATGTTTGGAGCATTAAAAAAATTACTTGAATAATCAATAAATTCATTAGGGCAACAGATCCTCTAATTACTCTGAACAGTGTATTATAAAAGTTTGTGACTATCATATTATTTGACGATAAAGCAGAAATTTTGATATAAACAGTAGCTAAAGTTGTTAACAGGTAGTACACAGTAGTGTATTTTTTTTTACAATTTTAATTAAAATTAAAGTTCTCGCTCGCGTTGTACGGAACTTAATTGAAAATGTTTTCGAAACGCTTGCGTTAGCTGAATTAGCGGCCAAGCTAACTTTAATGTTTTCCAGTTGTAGAAATATTTTCCTAAGCAAAGTTTACCTATTTAATATGGAACGAAGTCCTGCACATTTGAGCATCGTTAGAAGCTTGTCATAACCATTTCAATTATACTTGAAAATCATTTGCACGTTAGTACTTCTAATTATTGTACATGTATTCTCTTCGTACATTAGTAGACGTAATAAATTTTACTTTTCCTATTGAAGTTATATTTTTCACAGAATACATTACAAAAGCACTGAAAGTGAAGTAAAAATATTTTTCTCTAAAAATATGCAAATCTTCCTTAGATGAAATATTGTTTCAAGTCTCATGGTTTCGCTAGGGTTTTGCAAGGTTGCCTTGATTTCTTTAGAATTTTTTCAAAGGAAGGTACCGCTGTTCATCAGTTACTATGCTCTTTCAACGTACTGCTTTTCAGATATTTCTGGGTCTGCAGGATTTAAGGCGCAGCCCAAGCTTGTCGAGTGTGTCCTTACGATTGTTATCTCACGACCGTCCAAAGCAATCGTATTCTTGTTATTTCAGGACCTTCGCTCTTCCTAGCTTTGTATCTGTAGAAAATCTCGCCATATTTCAACCGTGGAAATCTGTGCTCCAGACACGGATATTTTCCTTTTAAAATTAGGACAGAAACGAAACAAGCTGTCGTTCAGATTTTCATTTCATAAATAATTTCTCCAGACTGTTGCAAAATATGATACAAAATATTAATTACTTCTTTCTGAGAATTTCTCTAATGATTCGGATTGTATAATCAATTCCCGCGTATTCTGTTAATTACCAAAGTCCGCTTAACACGTGCCTAGTGTATACACGATCGAACATGGTAAACGCTTTAATCCTTCGTAGCATGGCTTCAAACACATCAGATCATTTAGCAGGTTGTATTCACAGGTGATCGCGTTGATCTTACAGGGATCACTTACATGAGCGTGAATTTAGTCGACCCATCGAAAATTATCAAAAGCCTGTGTTGAAAACTTTTAATTGCTGGGTTGTTCAATGATGCCATGTATGTCTAAGTAAAGTCGTTACAGAATCAAATATGATGTATGAAAAATTGGAATTTTTTTCTTTTTTCTTCCACACGAATACATAAACTTGAAACCAGAATTAATGAAGTAAACAAGGGATGAAGGTAAACAATACTGTTGACTAAACTAGAAACTGAAATTAATGAAGTAAACAGACAGCAAAGGTAAACGGTAATAGACAACATTAGAAGCTACAGGGTATCATAATCCAGTTGTGTAAGGTACTAACCTCCTCGTTTAAGTTGTAGCTCCCAATTTTTATTTTTATTTATGTCTCAAAAATTTATCAAACTTTTGTGGCAGAACTTAATCTATTATCCATTATTTAGAAATTTAAAAAGGACTGTGAAATGCAATATTAAACTAAAATTGGGATTCTCTTCATGGTCCGTCATCCGAGGATTGATATTATTGATCACAGAGTCCTGTTAATCAGAATAATAAACTACACCGCAGAGGTTGTGCTGTGGTTGAACTATCAATTATTAATGGTAATTGTGTGGTAATTAATGATGTAGTCGTTCTCTGATACAGTCGGTAGTTAGAATTTATTTCACTGAGTTACATATTACGTTCTCTAAGCTAGGTTCGATAACGTCTTAAGATTCATTATAATTCATAAGCTATTATTCACAATTCTTTATACAATTATGAATTTATCAGAGTATTCGAAATAATCTCGTACTTCTATATTCAAAGAAAACTTTGTCCGATCGATGTTACGTAAAAGTTAATGAAGAAGTAATCGTGGAACGAGGAGGAAAAGTTTTGAAATTCTTTCGCAAAGGTAAGCAAAAATTACCCGATGAAGTCTCTGATGTTTGCACAACTTTAGATTACTGCTTCGAAAATATAAGCCCCGACATATTGGATAAAGTTTGCCAGTGTTAAGGTTTCAGAATGCAAATTCCACGAAACTATTTATTGCTGAAATACACGAGGAAAGTAGATTCGATCCTCGGATAAATAATTTACCCTACTTTCCATTAATTTCACTCAAAATCATCAGAAGTTTTCATTAAATCAAAATTTGCGATCGTTATGATCCACTTATGGAAAGTGAAACGATTACACGTGAATCTGAAACGACAATGCTGAAACGGCATAATGAAAAAGAGTGGCTGGACACTTGTCAGACCCGTACAAATAAGGAGTAATGTATGGATGGGAGCGGTTGAACCGGAGGATTAGCGTGTACCATTTCACGCTTTCTCCAACGTCCAGGGTAGCGGAATGCAAAATACATTGACCTGTAAATCATGCGATAGGAATGGACGATGGTAATTCATCGGTCGCGGTGTCGCGCGACGTAAATCGAGGAAGATTGTGACAATGATTCAGCGCAGCTTTATGGCTAGCAGTGTAATTAAGTCGCATCCGACGGCTATTACACATGCTGAACGAATTCGAGTTTACCACCGGCTATTTCTAATTATTATAGATCCATTTGTCAATTCATTTTTCATTTTTCCATTTATACTACATTTCTGCTGACATTCGATGACTTGATTTTTATTAACCGATCATTTTTTTGATGATTTTTCAGATCGCTGTCGTAGCTGCATGCAAGGAGGATTAATGGACTGGCGGAATGGTAAGTTTGCAAGGTTTTTAATTTCGCGAAGTAACGAGGCTTTAATTCATAAAGGCTCGCCTCCAACTGGCTGGGACTTTAACGAGGACATTAAAGTGGTTTCGAGCCATGCCGGAACTAGTAGTACGCGTTACCTCCTTCGGAAAGCCTGTCGCCCGTTAAACATTGCGTGAAGGAATTTCTTTTTTTTTTTTTTCTGTTTTTCAACCGTGACCAACGAACTCCTTTAATTTTGCATAATGAAACGCGTCGACTGTCGCTTCAAATTAAAACCATTCTCGCGTTATTTCATGAATCGTTAACGATTTCATCTCTGTTTAAAAAATTTAACAATTATGTAATGTTTTGAAAGTTTTTATTATACGATAAGAGATACTTTTTAATTTTTCGTTATAGTTTTCGCGAGATAAAAATTTCCAGCAGGGCCATTCTGTTGGCTTTACGCTCGCGTTAATCAATGTATGCGCAAGCATGACGCGCATTAATGAAGAAATTTATATTCACTAGGAAGGGCGTTACTTTGAGAAAGCAAGAATTACGATCCGTCGTTAGTAGTTTTAAGTAGGTTAATTTCTGGACCTCGAAGTTACCTTCAACTTGCATGGATAGCTTTCATCAAACTTCTTGTCACGAGTCCATAATCATTTTGCGAATATAATAAGGAAATATTTCATTCGGTCCATGGTGAAAATAAGTTTTATTAAATACAGTAATCAGAGATATTTATTTTTATATAAATTTCGTTCAATTAATCTCATCGTAAATAATTTTGCTTCTTGATTTGCCTTTTTTAAAAATTCTCTGCAGCATCTCAAAGAAAAATTGGAGATAAATTTTCTTCGAAATTAAGACGTTCCACTCGCGTTTACGTTGTACGGAAAACAAAGACCCAGCTTTCAACGTTCAGCGATTGTAAATTTTCCGCTTTGAAGACAGCAAAGCTTTTAACTCGAGTTTAATCGCAAACAATATTTCTTTGAAAAAGTCTTGTAAACGTAATAAGCCTCGTTGCTTCTCTGAAAGACGTCGTGTTTATGCATGCTATCGATGTCACGTTAATTTTCATTTTTCCTCTTGCATGAAATTAAACTTTCGTGGAAAATGTGGTATTTAATTTTTAAATTAATTTCCATTCAGATCAAATCAAATGGAAATCTTGATATTTGCCAATGCTGGTCAATATTTATTAATGATTATCGTCATTAATTATGTCGTAACGTGGTATTCCCAGATGATCCTCTAAATTGCCAATTGTTATATATTAGCGACACTAACTTCTCCCAAGGGTTGAAGGGGATGTCGAATATCCGTATGGACGTTACAATATCTTGTCGATGCATTTCCGTTCCCATTATTTACACTTTGCCTGGATATCCGATGGGTAAAGTGAAGGAACATGCGACATTTTTGCATTTGAAGCATCAAAATTGAGACAAATTTACGTTTGGATTTCTGCAACTATAAATTTCCATTATTATACAAAATGTAGATTCTTGTTTATTTTAAAAAGAGAGACAAATTGAAGAAACAAGAATAGGTGGTTATTAGAAGTTAGAATTATAATTTAGAATTTTACTTTATATTGCACATTTTTTATATTAAATATGGTAGGATATTTTATGAGAAACTAAAGTTACATGAAAATTTTTTAAAGAGAACAATGTGTTGTCAATAATAATTATTATTCCATCGCATATTCAATAATATCGACAAGATATATCGATTATCCGAAAGCTCCTCGAAACTTGATCCATATCTCTCATTCCATGTTTTCAAGTGCATGGTTCTAATTAATTTCAATCAACGCTGACAATAGAAGCTCGTTTATTAGGAAACGTTATCTTCAGCCTCTCATCGCGGAAGTAGCAGTTGAAATTACACGCAGCGTTGGCAATTACAAGGGTTAAGACGTTTCCCCTAACGGAATTCCTCCGGTTCAAGTTGTGTTCGGTAGGAAGCAACCCCTTAAAGCCGATGAGCGACGACTTTCGGTCCTTCCGGTGTTGACTCGACGTTATCTGCTCGCTCTTTCTTCTATTCTCACCCTTATCATCTACGTTTCTTACATTCGTCCTTTCTTTTCCCTTCAACGTTTTATTCGACTGTCTCTTTCTCCTTCTACCTACACCGGAAGTACGGTCCGGGTTGACCCAGATCTACCGACAATGGGCGCGCTCAACTGGCCGCGTGGTTGCGGCAAAAGTTGCCTGCTTTTGGCCTCGATTTTTCAAACTACCTTCCTTTTCATCCTCCCTGCCCTTCGTTCTTCATCTCTATGGTCAACTCCTGCTTTTTTTTTTTTCAATAATTTTGTGCAATTTCGATTGCTTTCATTTGGGAGGCTATTTGTTGTAGATACTTCTATTTTAAACTCATTCATTCTGCTGAAAGAAGATTTAAGTCCATGGCGTTAGCCACTGGGGAAATGATGCACTTGGAATTAGAGGAACAAAACCCTTGTTATACTTCTCAGTTTACAATTTTTACATTTACCATTACACTGGAAGTCGCACGATCTCTCCACAATTACAGCTAATATTAATATTACAGTAGTCTCTCGTTATATTGAGGGTAAAAATTTTTCAAGTTTCCGCAGTAGTAATAGTCAATATCTAGTCAGCCACGTAATCAAATCAATTATTAAGGATATTCAAAATCAATTTTTCACAATACAATGTTTCAGTTTGCTATATAATATTGTTGGTGCAATTTTGATGATCTCATTTTTATAATTTTTAAAATTCTGAATGAAGAAATATACTCGTGTACATTAAAACGATTTATTCTCAGCATAAAATTCTGAATCCTTCAGTTGTGAACACATTTTTCCTCGCTACTTGCTACGTTTTATAAAAAGCATCGTCTGTAGCATACTTTTTCTCGTTTACCTTGGTGTTAAGAACATTTATACCTAATGTAAGCTAACACGCCAAGAGAAACGTTGGTAACCATCTAATAAAACAAGGAAATCGACGATACAGCTTCATACCTTACCGTTAAACTTCTACGGAATCTGGAAGAAGGAAATCGCGAGGATTTCATGGTTATACATCAGCACGTCAGACACTTAACATCTCTGCGCTCTGAATTACCTTCCTTTCCTCTTCATCTCGTGTTTTTCCTCTCGCTATCCCATTTCTCTACGCTTCCCTTTGCTTGCTTCCCGTTTCCTTTTTCTCTTCTCTTTTCTTTCTATCCATCTTCGTTTTTCCACCTTTCAATCTTTCGTATATTCATCTTTTTATCTTATTTGTTCTTTCGTTTTTATCCTCTTCTTGCCTGATGTGTTCATCTTTTCATCTTGTACAGTCTCGGAGAAAATGACCGAAGGATAATTTCGAATTTTCTAATTATCACAAATGATGAAATATTTTCTCACTTCGTACGATTGTGAGAATTTTTGAATTTCCTTTGAATTATTATAACGGAAATGGCAGAAGCAGACGAGGTTGGTTCCCTTATCAGTCGGATCCTCTGCTTCCATCCTCTTATCGGCCCTCTTGGCGCGTTTCGACTGTCGTCGAATTAAATTTCAGGTAATGCACCGTAAATTGGGCCTCCGTTCGCCGACGCGTTCGTTCGACGACGCGAATTTATCATTCCATTAATTTGACATTTAATTTTGCCGCGATAACGTCACACCGTCGTGCCACCCGCCCATGGCTGACGCGTCCACTTTTGAATTATTCCCAGTGAATTTGTCGCTGACTATATTCGCGATTCCGCTCGTTATCGATGTAACCGGCTCCTGATTTATCTTGATCCCCCCTCATTTATCATTACAATATGCCCTGAGAAGTTTTTCGAAACTCTGTTATACATACATCAAAGGGGGAATTTCGAAATGAAAGTTCAAAGTTAATTATATCTAATATTTGTTTAACTTTACTTCGGATGAATATCATAATTTGACATTGTAATTATAATAAGGTCTGTCGCAATTTAAAAACTAGGATCGCGCGTTCATTACGTGAAATTCGGAGTATATTAATACAGTTTCGTATTTAACTTTCAGGAACTTTGAATGCAAAAGCTTTGTGCTGAAAACTAGTTCACGTCCATGAGAAAGGGGAAAAATGCATGTGAAATTATTTTAATATTCGTTTCGAAATAGGAACACTAAAAAATTCTTGATTATGCGGGAAAGAAGGTTATATGCAAAATTGTTTTTCAGAAAGGGAAGGGATGTGATATTAAATTCTTTTTAGATAGAAATAATAGCAGTTTTGGCATACTAAAATTTTTACATAGAACTCATGAATTCTAAATTTTCTTAAGGGACAAACTTCTGAATAGTGTGGACAAAATGAAAATAAAATGTTTGTTTGTCGCCGGTTCATTGTCAGTCTAATTAAGCCTTTAATCGTAAACGAGGCAAGACTGTTACTATAGAAGGATCAGCTTGAAACCGAATGGTAGAGAATTGCAAACGCTGGAAAGAGCAAGCAGAGCTCCTTGCTAGCTCGATACGCTGCTGGCACTGCAGTCGAAGAGGCTACGACATTCCGTGTGCGGAATTGTTCGTGCCGCTAGGCGGAACTCCAGCGACCGGAAGCACGTCCCCGTGAAATGATCACCACGATTCGAGACGTGAGTCGGGAACCGAGGAGAAGCTACGTCCTTTGGCTGTTCTTCCTGCGGGCGTTTCTTAAATTTTCCTTCCGCCCCTTTCGTCTGTCAATGTTCGTTCGACTTTATCGCTACCAATGTGGCCTCTTTCTGCCAGACAAAACTTTACTAAGAATTCTCTTGTCCAGCGAAATCTCCGTCAAACGGTTCAATTAAATAAACTTACAGCCGTTGGAAATTGACTTTTATCTTTAGAGATTTTTCTAGAAATATTTATTAACTTTTTTCAAAAGTTCTGCAGAATTAATTCTTTTGTCAATTTTTAATATTCAGACCGGTTCAATGGATGCCAATTAAAAATTTAAATTTAGCTGTACCTTATATTTCATAAAATTCGAGAGTAAATGAATAATTGTGAAATTTCACGTGAT